ATATTGGAAGTTCTGTTCCTCCTTCTCAAGGTGATGGCAGCATAAGTGTGTGAATAAGATACACACACACACACACACACACACACACACACACACACACACCCCTGACAATCTACAGCCTATATGGAGCAAAGACTGATTCATGCTGTGAGAGAGAAAGGAGAGCCTGTGGGCCGGATTTGCCCGGGTGGAGGGGATGTGTCTAGGTAGGGAGAGTAATGATGAGTAGAGCCTCAATGGTTGGGACAGGGGGTGGAGGGTCGGTGAGCAGAGCAGCAGCACTGAAGCAGGTCACAGAGCAGAGCAGCAGGAGAGGAGCCTGGGGAAGCAGGGAGAGCAAGACCGTGAATGAGCCTGGCTCTGTGGCATATCCAGGAGGTCACGTGTGTGTCTGTGTGTGTGTGTGTGTATCTATGTGTGTCTCTGTGTGTGTGCGTGTGCATGCATTAGCATGGGGTGGGATAGGGGCTGAGGATCTGGGAATAAGTATGGGGAGTATGGAGAAAGCATTGAACTAGGACCTAACGGACAGGGCTTCTAGTCTCAGCTTTGTTGCTAGCTGGAAATGCAACTTCGGGCTCATCACCCAACATCTCTGAGCCTCGATTCTCTTCAGCTGAAAGACCAGAAATTGGAGCAGGTTATCTCCAAGATGTCTGTCCCGTACCAATAATTCTAAGACTTCCCCACCTCTCCCTTTCTTCTTTCATTGCCCTCTCCCTACCTTCAGCTCAAGGCTATAGGAAATTTTATCCTTGGTTGGCAAATAACACTTTTTTGAGAAACAATCGTTTCATTCCATGAACCTGAACAAGCTGTCATTGTAAAAAAAAAAAGAGAGAGAGAAAGAAAGAAAATGAGAGAGAGAAATCTATATCATCATCACTGGAGAATTTTCAGCATATATAAGCGCAAAGTGACTAGTGTAGTTTCTATTGAACCAATGTCATTTCTTCTACTATCCACCCACTTGCCTTTGCTGACATCATTTGATATGATGCCACCTGGTAATATTAGGGGTTCCATAAGAAGGAGCGTTAGGAACCCCACTGCTGTGTTTGCTATAAGGCTATCATGAGAATGTTATTCATTACACAAAGAAGAACCAAATCTCTCTGATCTCCAGATCAGGAAGGGGTGTGCCATTACTGAGCAACTCGCTTGTCTCTACCTCAAGGACCCTGTGACATTGTAAACGGTTCCCTTTTCCTCTTCACAACTTGGTGCTACTGGAAAGCACAGAGGCAAGTCCACGCCTCCCTCCTGCAACCTTGGTTTGCGCACAGTGTGCTCCCTCGCCCCGGCTCTGCCACCTCCTCCTGCTCTTCGTCTTTCTTGGCATCAATATTTTTCTTCTTCTTTTTATCTTTCTGAACGATATGCATTTCAGATCTTTAAATGCTTCTGTGGACAAGGAAGTTTAAAAATAAACAAACACAAATAAATAAATAACTGATGCAACTGAAATCTTTGTATTCTAGCCCAGGGGTCAGCAAACTGTGGCCGGCTGGCCAAATCCAGCCTGCCCCCTGTTTTTGTATGGTCCACAAGTTAAGAATGATTTTTACATGTTTTAATGGTTTGGGGGGGGGGAAAGAAGATAATTTGTGATATACGAAAATTACATAAAATTCAAATTTCAGAGTCTATAATAAAGTTTTATTGGAACACAGGCACACCCACTCATTTGCATATCATCAATGGCTACTTTCACCCCACACGAGCAGAGCTCAGCAATTGTGACAGAGGCAGATGCGGATCTCGAACCAAACATATTTACTGTTTGGCCTTTTACAGGAAAAGTGTTGTCCCTAGATAAGAACTTCCTTTTAGGTCTGTTCGAGTTCCTCCTGCCAATGTTATTAATATAAAACTGCTTCGATGCTAGGTATTTGCTGCATCCTAACTCAGTTTAGATATTTTTGTGCTTTCTTCATAAAACTGCCTCTCAGTGTACTTTAATCTTGGCTCTGGTTCCTGTTTACTGTCTGGCTCAGAGTTCAATGCTATGTAATAGAGACAATTAGAGTGCAGCCTCACAGAAATGACTTAAAAACCCTCTTGGGTGACTATTTTATGGTCACTAATAAAATAAGTTTAAAACTTCTGTTTTTGCTGAAATTTTTAAGCCAATAGAAGGGTCTGCATAGCAACTTGGCACTTTTTACACCACGTTCAATTTCCTCCAGTTTCTTTTCAATTGATACATGTGTTTGCATATTTACTGATTTTTTTTTCCTCTTCTGGTCAACCTTAGTTAGAAATAAAACCAAGTCTCCATGGAAACACAACATAGTGCTCTCGCACAGATGATTGAGGGACCCAAGCAGCTGGTATTGGGCTAAAGTCTGCAATGGCATCTGACCAAATTAGGAAGAGAAAACAGCTTACCCGGCTCTTCCAGACCTCTCAGAATTCTACAGCTCAGCATGGAAGCCTACACAGATTGTAAATTACTGCAGATTGTTTTATTCCTTCTTTTCCTTCTGAGAATATTCTCTTAACTATTTATGTTTCGGCTAAAGGTTTTTAACACCCTCCCCCCTTAGACTGATGGAGGGATGCTACAGAGTAAGTTGGAAGAGAACCTACATTCAGTGAGCACTTACTATGTGTTAGGCATTTATATGTCATGGCTGGCTCAATGCCACACAGTTCAAAAACCAGCAGGGCTGGAATTTGAACTCTGTTCTGCTTAACTCCAAAGCCCCTTCTCTTTCCACTACACAAAAAGAAGAAAATAGAAAAGACAAGGTTGAACAAAGGTCTTTTAACATAGCTATGGTTCCCTCTCTACCCACTTTTTCCTAGAGACAAAATCCAAATAAAGAAGTAAGAATATGAAAGTTGCCTTCTCTCCTAACCCCAACTAAGTTTATAAGAAATCAAATTCAAAAGTAAGTTGGGGGGAACCAAAAGAACCCTGGTTCTCTTCCCTAAAAATCCTTCCCAAATGCTTGTAGGAGAATGTCTTAAATAAGGGTATATAGTAAGTGTCTTGAAGGAAGAATAAACAAAGAACTATGGAAATTTGGGGAGCAGACAAAGGAGGAACATGTCAGAGCACAGCAAGTTCATCATGGTACTAAAGCCTTGGCTATTTCTTGGGGCCAATGATCAATTTAACTGTGCTTTTCTCTACTCAAATTCTGATTTAAGAACAACATTTTCCTAAGTCCTATTTCTCACTAGAGCATGATCTAGTGAGACAAACATACATGCCTGTCCAAGAGCCTGCCTCCATGAGCAGGACCTGGCATCCCCAAGGTCTCAGAGCAAAGGTCGCACAGCCTTGCTCACCAAGGCATTATGAAGAGTCGCCCCAGACCTAGACTCTCAATCCCTGGGGAGTATGGGATCCACAGAGGTGCCTCAGGAACAGGCTGGGGGATGACTGCCTTCAACAGAGGCATCTTTGCTCTCATCTGTTTGAAGAAAGTGTTCCCCTGCTCCACAATCCTTTGAAAAACACTGTCCTAGAACATATCTTCATCTGAACATTGGCCCACAACACAGATCTGTAACTGATATTTGAACTAGGACTTCTGAGAGAGAGAGGTGTGGCCTCTGAAAGCTTATACAAGAGTTCATGGTAATACTATGTGACAAAGATGTGACATGCAGGCAGGTTTTTTTTTCTTTGAGTGAAACAGTCCATCTTCCCCTTTACGTGACCTGCATTCACACGGCACCATCGCTCCCACCACCGAGGGTCAAGGAAGCATGGAGAAGACAGCAAGAGAACACAGGCAGGGAGGGAAGTAGGCTCCTTCCTGTGGCAGACAGCCATTAAGGAAAGAAGGCGGGTGAGGAACAGGGGTGTCTCCTCCCTCCCAGTGTGGACAGTTACAAGTTATGTTGGAAAGGTGGTTAAATTCTTTTGGGGCTCCATTTCTAAAGCATGATGGGGTAGGCTGTTCTGTGCTCCCTGTAAATCTACAGGAATTCATTCCTCTACTGCTCCAGCCCTTTCTTATATAAAGAGTCTGTGTAAAATACTTTGCTCTCCAGAGAGGAGCCATAGCACTGCAAATTGCTTTATTAATAAAATTAGCTAATAAACTAGAGCAGTAGCTACTACACTGAAATAGACCTTTCGATTATGGAAAATTAAATCATTGGGGACATCTTGTTCATGAAAAACAAGCTCATTCTGTGAAATAGATGTTTTGACTGAGCTAGGACAACCTTTCTTTACAAATGCTAAATTGTTTTGTTTTGTTTCAGTTTTCAGCACCCGCATCTTTCTGAGCAGCTTTTACTCAGCTTCCGGGATGTTTTTAAAACTCCAGGCATTGGTCAAGGAAACACCAGATCAGATGGTGCTGGGCGATTTAGCTAAGCACAGGCATATTTTATAGAATGTTTGAACAGTAGTTGCTCTGAAAAAGAACAATACTTTCCATTTTAGGGCAATTTACAAACATTACACATCCAACCCTATCCCAGGAAAAAACTTCTCCCTTTCATTAATCTTTCACAGAATAAATAATGGTATTGGAAGTTTGGCTTACAACCAGTAATTTATCTTGGGCTACATTGATAAAAAAGTGCTGTCATTTCAAGAAGAACTTGAACTACTTTATTAACCATTAGTACCGACCATTTGATTCAGGCTTAGAAGAAAATAACAGTCTTAAAGTCCAGGCAGCATTAAAAATAATTCTACTCTTAACTTATAAATTCCCTTGAGAAGAATAGAGTCCTCTTTCTTCATTTTGACCTGCTAAATTACCTACCTACTCAAAGCCAAAGATAATTCTACTGGTACCACATGGTTAGGACCTTCCACAAGTGAGCTTGACTATCTTTTGTATAACCCTTTAAGCAAAGAGAATGTGAATTTAAAGATCTATTAAAGATTTAAGAAGAGAGCTCATCACATTTATCTTTCTTTTCCTTATAGCGTTTTGTCTTGCTATTTCAATCCTTATCTCTTTAATAACGATCTTTGACTTCAGTGCAGTGCCCTGGTTGGATGACATTGCAATCAACAGTACCTGTATGCCATGCCGGTCTCTGCCTTGGTGGTTTCCTGCAACGAAATTCCATGGACACGTAAAAACGTTTCCAAATATTTCTGTTCCGCTGCTCCACTGGGCCTAACAGGCCCGTAGATTGCCTTAGGCTGAGTCTTGGGCACTGCTAGGTGCCGTCTACATTTTAAGGCCGATTCACTGGATTTTGGTAGACCCAGCTTGGGGCTAGGGATGTCTGCGCAGGCAGGTTTATATAGATGCATGTTTCAAAAACCCAAGGAAGTAAAGCTAATTGCACAGTACTTAGCTTTAAGGCTGGCTGTATCTTGCTGTGATTACCTTGGGTTATCTGGCTTCGATATGTCCCTCAGAAGGATCAGCTTGTTTTCTTTAGATCTCTCTTATCATTTTTGTAGGAGAGCAGGCTCCTAAGTCTCCAGCAAAGTTACATGTCTCTGCCCAGGCCTGTGCATAAAAGAGCCTGTCAGAAGCCAATCACTGTTCTCCTCCCTTAAAAATTCTCAAAGCCAAATGTAAGCAACTATGTATTGGCCCTGGGAAAAAAATATGGGCACTTTTTCCCATGTCTTTCTATTTAGGTAAAAGGAAATATTTTGGTGGGATATGGGCCAAATCTTCTGTTTTCATAAGGACCTTAAGGCCTTGGAGATGATTCATAAGTGTGCAATGAGACCTCTCTAAATTATCACCCATTTCATAATTAAATAATTTTTCATAAAAGTGGCATGATTCATTTGGGTGAAATGTTCATTAACCTCTTTTTCAGACGTTGCTGTCAAATGATAGGAAATATCAATAAGGTGGTTGGGAAAAGCAAAGGGCCCACAAATATGTGGCCAACTGTTTTTGACAAATGCGCAAGAGCAATGCTATGGAGGAAAGATTCTCTTTTCAACAAATAGTGCTGGAACAATTGGACATCCATAAACAAAGCGAAACAAAACTAAAACAAATAAAAATAAAAGAACCCTTGACTTAAACCTTATATTTATACAACAATTAACTCAAATACATCATGGACTTAAATGTAAAATGTAAAACTATGAAACTTCTAGGTAAAAACAGAAGAAAATCTTCAGGACCTAGAGCTAAGTGAAGAATTGTTATACTTGACACCAAAAGCACAATCCATAGAAGGAAAAATTATCAAATTAGAGCTCATCAATGTTAACAACTTCTGCTCTAGGAAGGAGCCTGTGAAGAAGATGAAAAAACAAATTACAGACTGGGAGAAAATATTTGCAAACCACATATCTGACAAACGACTTATATCTAGAACAGATAAAGAACTCCCAAAACTCAACAATAAAAACATAAACAATCTAATCAGCAAATGGGCAAAAGATATGAACAGACATGTCACTGAAGAGGATGCAAAGATATCAAATAAGCGCATCAAAGGATCATTATCCATGAGGAAAATACGAATGAAATCCATAATGAAATATCACTATCTACCTATCTGAATTGCTAAAATAAAAATAGTGGCAACACCAAATGCTGGCAAAGATTCAGAGAAACTGGATCCCTCATAAATTGCTGGTGGGAATGTGAAGTGGTACAGCCACTCCAGAAGAATGTGGCAGTTTCTTATAAAATTAAACACACCAAACTTACTATATAACACAGCAGTCACACTCTCGGGTTATTTAACCTCCCAAAATGAAAACTTACGTTCACACAAAACCTGCAAACAAATATTCATTGCATTGTTATTCATAATAGCTAAAAACTGGAAACAACCCAAATTTTCCACAATGGGTAAATGGTTCAACTGTGGTGCACCCAGGCCGTAGAATACTACTCAGTAACGAAAAGGAATGAACTATTGATAAAAGCAACAAGTTTAAAGAATCTTAAGGGATTTATGCTGAGTGGGGAAAAAAAGTCAATACCAAAAGGTTTCATTCTGTATTATTCCATTTATATAACATTCTTCAATTGACAAAATTATAGAGATTGGCAACAGATTGTGGTTGCCATGAGTTAGGGAAGATGACAGGGAAAAAAGTGGCTGTTGCTATAAAAGGGTAGAGGAGGGATTCTTGTACTGAACTGTTACAGTTCCAAGAACTGTGTCTTGATTATGGTGGTGGTCACACCAATATACACATGTGATAAAATTGCATGGAACGAAATACACACACAAATGAGTGCGTGTAATTCTGGTAAAATCGAATAAGGTTGGTGGTTTATATCATCATCAGTTTCCTAGTTGTGTTATCGAACTACAGTTATGCAAGACATTATCACTTAGAAAAACCGGATGGATGGGATAGGGAATGTCTCTATTGTTTCTGCACATGAATCAACAATTATCTCAAAATAAAACATTTTCTTAAAAAAAAAAAAAAGCAAAGAGACTCCTTACATAAAGCTCTTCCCACCACGTGACTCCAGCTGTGACTCTTATCCAGCAGTAACTCCTGGGCATAAACTTTTCATTCAGGCCACAGGCTTTGCACTCCCACCCCTCACTCACCACCCCATCTTTTCTCACAAATTCTCCCCACACATGCTCAAAGGCCCCCTTAAAGCTCACCTCCGCTAGGAACACTTCCCTGACCACCCAGGCCCTGGTATACAGTCATTCCTGGAAATTCCACCTGCAATTTAAATCTAAAGTACCCATTTGATACTTGTAAACTGTTTCACAAACATTTGCACATCCCTTGTGATTTCTGCCATATTTTTGTATATTCTGTACCATTATTTATTTATTGTTTGAAATTAAATTGTCTTTTTTACTGAAATAAATCTATTTAGTGTTGTGAATTTTGTGTCCCCCAAAAATTTATACGTGGAAATCCTAGCCCCAGTGTGATGGTTTTAGGAGGTGGGGCCTTTGGAAGGTAAGTTGGTCATGAGCTTGGAGCCCACGTGAACAGGATTGGTGTCCTAGCTGCGCACCAACTAAAATCATCTTCTTGGCCACCAGTGAGTGGTACTTGTACCTACTTTGGGAAACACAGACACAATATACTGCCCCAGAGTATTAGAGACCTCTGCCTGCGGGGGTAAGTGTTAACTCCCCACCTAGACTCTAAGGTCTTTGAGGGCAGGGGACTGTATCTGATACAAGCTTGTAACCTCCATAACAATAAGTGTGGTATTTTGTACACAATAAATACTTCATAGAGATTAATGCTTTACTTGCTTTAATTTTAATCACCAAATAGCTACATTTCTCCTTATCAATCCATTTTCACCCCAGCAGCCAAAGCCCTGAGCCTCAAGGAAGAAATAAGAGGTTGTAAAGAAAAGGCCAGAAAAGCTAGAAAAGGAACCAGGCAGTAGGATGGAGTTAAGGAGTTTCCAAGTAAAGTTGTACCTCTGGTTCCATCACTTGCATTAGCCACGGGTTAAATCTGACCATGTGAGCCGTGAAAGTGTTTCCTCCAGGGCTGAGAACACCTGAAAGGCACAGTGGGAATTCCTTCCAAGGAAGAAACGGGTGCACTGGAAAAGCAGTTCATAAAACACGAGACATGAGCCCTCTTCCATGCATCCGTCTCTTTCTCTCTCCTCTGAGTATGGAACTGTGCCGAGGAGGCGAGAGAGAAATGAGAAAGCTAATATTTGTCTTTTCATAAAGTTCTAAAAGTTGGCCAACGTCATAAAAGATCCCAGTTTAAAGGTGAAGTGTGGACACTATATTTAATAAGGGCATCGTGAGTCCTTTTAGTTGTCAATACAATTAAGATACCAATTAATTTTAAGCTCAATGTGATAAGACTGTAAGAAATGGCTCTGAGCAGCTGCGGAGAGCAGTTAATGTCTTTCTTGCTGCCTTTCTGTGTCTCAGGAATGATGATTATCACATTCGTTTTAGAATCTTTAAGTATTACACAATCACAGGGTCAGCACAATGTAGGAAAAAGTGACAAGGCCATCCGAAGAGAGAGGTGCTTCCAGCCACGTTCTGCTGATGGGGTGCAGGAGGCCTCGGGACACAGAAGAAGTCACAGACGGAAACTCACACAGTTCTAGGTGGTGGGCGGGCTTCATCCACACCTGTGCACTGTGCATGAATAACAGTGTGACCATGGGCGGGTCTTGACCTCTCTGACCCCTTGGTTTTTTATTGGCTCAGACTTAGGTAATCTCTAGATGCTTTTCCAGTGCACCTGTTTCTTCCTTGGAAGGAATCCCCACTGTGCTTTTCAGGTGTTCTCAGCCCTGGAGGAAACACTTTCACGGCTCACATGGTCAGATTTAACCCGTGGCTAATGCAAGTGATGGAACCAGAGGTACAACTTTACTTGGAAACTCCTTAACTCCGTCCTACTGCCTGGTTCCTTTTCTAGCTTTTCTGGCCTTTTCTTTACAACATTTTATTTCTCCCTTGAGGCTCAGGGCTTTGGCTGCTGGGGTGAAAATGGACTGATGAGGGGAAAGGTAGCTATTTGGAAATTAAAATTAAAGCGAGCAAATCATTAATCTCTATGAAGTATCGATTGTGCACAAAATATCATTCTTACCACTCTTCTAGGTCTGATGTTCTGCATCTCTTAAAAAGTACTTGGGCCAGACATTCTACACAGGTGACAGCCCTTCTTGTGTAGATTGATGAGACCTGAATTCCATGCATTATTAGCTAGTTCTCTAAGATACCAGGCCCATTAGACTGCTGTTATTCTTAGCATATACCAATCACATTTACAGCATAGTTTTAAATTTTTCTTGGCTAAGGAGGTGACTTGTTGAACACTATAGTATCCTGGATTCATGGACACATCGCAGTCACGTAAACATTGTCTCAGCCTAGAAGTAAAGACCGAGGCCGGAGCTGGTGGGCTAGGAGGATGGGGCTACGTTCCCACGGCTGGGGTGGAGGAGTGATGGAACCACCCGCATGAATTTGAACAAGGGAATCCAGACCACACGTCAAAGCACGTTTCCTATTCCAATTATTTACAGGAACTTTGTCCTCTGCTCTTGTTCACAAGTGTGCTCACTAGTGCTCTGCAGGTGATGCCATGAGATGTCTGCCTCCACCCTGGGAACCATCCAGAGGTATCATTCCTCTTGTCACTGCCGTCTTCTCTTCACCTTCGCCAGAGCTGCCTTGGGGTCTAGTTGTACATGGTGAGATCACAGCTAAATACAGTATGTGTGTGTTGTGTCAACAAAGCAATGCATAAAACATCACCTTTGCTCTTGGGGAGCTCTCGGTGGAGAGGAGGAGGGAGACCAGTAAAGATTGCAAAGGGGTGGGATGTGAGCCAAGGTGGAGGTGAGCAGTGAGGAGAGCCCCCAAACCCAGTCTGGGGAAGGAGTGAAGGTGGAGGGAAGATAACATCAGTCGTAATGGCAAGGGGTGGGGAAGGTGGAGGGACTTTTTTCAGAAGTTTGCAATCGAGCAAGTCTAATCTTGAATGTCTCTGTTTA